TTGTCTTCGTTAGTGAAACTTCAGACGCACAGTCGCCAGAGATGGAGAGCTTCTTGGAGATCGGCCCATACCACTTCCCTACTCTGTAGGAGAACACCACAGACGTCCAAAAGTCACACTAGCTGATGGGCCCTTCATAATGAAAAGATTTGTGAAAAATTGTCATTACTTCTGCCTTGCACATTCAGAACTTTTTTCCCCCTGGAAAAGATGTTTCCAACTGAATCAATTCCTTTATGGATACATGGCTATTTGGGGTTTTCATTTCTTCTTGAGACTGGCTCAGTAAATTATGTTTTTCTTATAAGTGTTATATGTCATCTGAATTTTAAAATTAATTAGCATATATTTGAGTGAAATACCCCCTTACATTGTTTTTTTTTTTTTAAGATTTATGTATTTTTAGGGATGCCTGAGTGGCTCAGTGGTTGAGTATCTACCTGCAGCACAGGTCATGATCACGGGGTCCTGGGATCGAGTCCCACATCAGGCTCCCCACGGGGAGACTGCTTCTTTATCTGCCTATGTCTCTGCCTCTCTCTCTCTCTCTCTGTCTCTCATGAATAAATAAATAAAAATCTTTTTAAAAACTTTTATTTTTAAAGAGAGGGAAAGAGGGGAGAGGGGCAGAGGGAGAGAATCTTTCAAGAAGACTCCCCACTGAGCACAGAGGCCAATGCAGGGCTTGACCCCATGAACCAAGAGATCATGACCTGAGCTGAAACCAAGAGTAGGATGCTTACCTACTGAACCATCCAGGCACCCCTCCCCTTATGATGTTCTTAAATCAAAACATTGAAGCAAAACAAACATAGAGAAAACAGTTCAGATTATAAAGATAAGTTTGATTAATTTTCATATGATGATGACATTCCTGGAATAACCACCTAGATCAAGAAGTCCCACCGGCACCCACTCTTAGTTACTCCCCTCCAGAAAAATAACCACTGTAAAGCCTTCTATCATCACCGATTAGTTTTCTGTTTTGAATTTTATGTAGTTGGGAACTTCCAGTGTCTGGCTTCTTTTTCATTTTATTTCATTTCATTTCATTTCATATTTCACTTCATTTATTAATGAGAGACACACAGAGAGGCAGAGACACAGGCAGAGGGAGAAGCAGGCTCCCTGAGGTGAGCCTAATGCGGGACTCTATCCCAGGACCTCAGGATCATGACCTGAGCCAAAGGCAGATGCTCAACCACTGAGCCACCAGGTGCCCACAGTGTCTGGCTTCTTGTGCTTAACATTTTATTGTGAGAGGCACCCACACATATAACAGAAATTCATTTATCTCTACTGCTGATAGAACTTCATTGTGTGCATATGCCATATACTACACAAACCTCCTACGTTAGAGGGATACCTGGGTTATTTCTAGTCTGGAAATATTCGGAAGAGTGCTGCTACAAACATGTCTTTGATATGAATATATACTTTTGTTGGGTATATTTTTTAGAGTGGAATTTCTCAGTAATAGTCTAGAGGGTCTGCGTCTCCATGACACTGGCCATAGGGACTCCTGGGTTCTCTGGGGTCTAAGCCTTTGGATCCCTCAGTCTCGGAAGTCAGGGTCTCTAGGGTCTCCTGGTCCTGTCAAGTCATTTCTCACCTGCTCTCCACCCTCCAGCTCCACCCCCTCGTGAAGGGAAGTGTGTACTACCCGGTTCATTGACTGGAACCTGCGCAGTGGATCTCAATCGCACCCACTACCCAGAACCAGGAGCACGTCCAGAGACACCCCCACTCCCAACACCAAGTCACTAACAGCTGAGCCATGCGCAGAGATCTCGCCTGACACCCAGTGCTCCCTCTCCCCATTCGACACGCTCATGCGCACCATAACCACCTGCACAGGGCACCCACAGATCCACCCGAGCCGCGACTCTCGGACTCTGCCCTGCGCATGCGCAAACTCTTCCTTTCACACTCGCCAACAGCCACTGCACTCCCACCTTCCATTCCCACCTGCGACGACACCTCCGAGGGTAGAAATCAATGCCCTACAATAGCTTTTAAGGCCTATAATAATCCCACAAAAGCAAATGATCCGAATACGGTTGCTTCGTCTTTTGAGTGTCTTGCACGGTGACGGTGACAGCGTACGGCCACAGCAAACACACATCCACCCACCCAGCAACCACCTCACAGTTCTGACGGGTCCTAATGCCTTGCGCAGGCGCCCAAAAGAAACAGGGCAGTACACATTAGCAAGCCGAGGAAGGAGCTGCAAGGGTTGCTGGGAGTTGTAGTCCCAGCAGGCCCAGCAGCCTCAGGTGCTTCGGAGTTGCCGCATGGGGCTCTGGGAGTAGTGGGCAAGACAGCCTCCAAAGCCTTCTGGGAGTCGTAGTCTCTGGAGCCACTTCCGTGCCAGACTTCCGCGTGTGGGGCCGTTTGGACGTCCTAGTACCGCGTTCTGTCCAGGTAAGTACTAACTCCTGCGGCGGATGGGCCGTAGGCCGCCGCTCTTTATTGCGGTGCCATGTGAGGTTGAAAGACTCGGGGAGTGGTGACACTAGCCCCCGTGATTCTCTAACGCCTGTGTCCCAGAGGCCTTCTGGCCAGGATCCCTCCTTTGGACTCTGCGGTACATCCTGTCTCTTGCCCACCCATCCCTCCCCCCAGGCGGGGATTCCACCATCTCCCTGCCCACCCCGACGCCATCGGGTACATCCAGGAGGCCTCTAGTGTGTCCTCAAAGCTCTGTTCTGATAGAAGGAGGCAGACCCAGTCCCTGCCTTTAGTACCCCGAAGGGGACAGGTCTGCCACTATGATGGATAGAATTGTGGTCAGGCTGGGATGGAAGCCGACTAGGGGCTCTGTGAGCCTGGAGGGGACTCCCCACCCAGGCTGGGTCCATAAAATCTTGGACAGGAAGATGCTTTAGCAGACATTTCAAACCTGGTGTGTCCAAATGGAATTCCTGGTGCCCTCCCGAGGAAATGGCCCATCACCCTCCTGGGGGCTCTAGCCAAAACCTCCAAGTCGGTCTCCATTCATCTTTTCTCATCAGCTGAGTCTTCATCACAATCCAAGTCTTGTGCAAATCCTGTGGGCTCTACCTTCAAAACAGATCCAGAGTCCCACCCTTCCTTCCCACCTCCACTGCTACCACCCCCACTCAGGCCACTTGCAACTCTCACTGGCTGTTGCCATAGTCACCTCCCTGCCTCTGCTCCTGCCCTCTAAAGTATGTTCCTCTCACAGCAGTCAATGAGATCCTTTAGAAACATAAGTCAGATTGTATCTCTTTCCTGCTCAAAACCCTTCTGTGGCTCCTATCTCTCTCTGAATAAAATTCAAACTTCATATCATGGCCTATGAATCTCTTGACAACCTGCACAGACTCAACACCTGCCAGGGTCTTCCTGCCTTCAGGAGGCAGACCCCCAGAACTGGGTGACTGTAGATTTAGGGCAAGAGGAGGGATGAGTCCAAGGTGATTTTATGTCTTGTCCTGTCCTGTGAAGGAGTTGGTAGAAGTTGGGTGGTAGCATTCAGGAGATAGGAAACAGCTGGGAAAGAACAGATTTCTACTTGGGAGGAATGGGAAGCTGGCCCTTGTGGGCACTGGGGATCTGAGAAAAGACCTAGCCAGGATTCTCAGTGGGGCATTTGGAGGACCAGCCAGATAGACATTACAATTCAGAGTCACCCACAAGGAGAATGGGCCGGGCGGGACCCAAGGACCATGAAGAGGATGCTCCAGAAGAGACTGGAGACCCCGCAGGAGATAAACCACAACAGAGGGAGGGTTGAGTCAGTAGTCAAAAGAGAAAACATTTCAAGGGGCACCTGTGACAGATGCCCCTGCTAGTCACGGCTGATGGCTCCTAAGGACTACTTGCTGGCCCAGTGACAGGGAAGAATACTCTGAGCGGAGGGAAGAGCCCGTGCAAACACCTTGCAGTAGGTATGTCCTGGAGCATTTGAGAGTAGAGTGCAGCATGAGTGAGGATAGGGAGAGGTGAGGTCAGGGAAAAAGGGAACCAGATCACAGACAGCCACACAGGCCACTGGCTTTTCCTAAAGTGAGAAGAGATGGTGGCTCAGATGAGGGTGGCAGCTGTACAGATGGTGAGATGTGTTGGTTTCTGGGTCTGCATAGAAGCTGCAGTCAGACAGGGTTTGCTGTATGCCATTTGGGGTTTGAGGTCAGAGGATGCCTCAATGAGACATGTGGATAAATGGTTGGGACTTGACATTGCAATTTGGAGTCACCCACGGGGAGAGTGAGAAGAGTGATGGAAGAACAGGCCAGGGTCCTGGGCCCCAAGGCTTCTGGCCTGAGCAGTTGAGAGGATGGAGCTGCTCTTGATTGCAAAAGAAGCAGGTGTGGGAAGAAGAATCAGGAATCCAGATTTTGAGATGCCTTTTAGACATCTGAATGGCACTGGCCCTGCGTCTGGAAGTCACAGACAGTGAACAAAGTCACATAAGGTGATTCCACATATTGTGACAAATCCTAGAAGCAGGGTGACCTGCTCAGACGTCCCCGCACTAGGCCAGGCTGGAGGCAGTAGTGGCTTGGGGCGGGGGTACTGAACCTGATGGATTTTTATGGGTTTACCAGGCATGTGGAACCAAGGAACATGTGGGTGGAGGATTGGAGTTTGGCTGGGGAGGAACGATGTAGGAAGAGAGGGACAGAAAGGGGTCAAAGATGGGCTGATCCATGTTTTGACAAGTCCACAGAAGCTTGTGGGAGATTCTGCTACCAGAGCAGAGTTGAGTCCAATCCTAGAGGCGCATCCACACCACCTCCGGAACAGAAGCAGCCCCAGTTGGTGTCCTTGGAGATGTGATCCATGCTGCCTCTGTGTCTTCCCGGAGGAGGTGACTACCCTGTCCTGCAGAGAATGCAATGGACTCACTCCTGGAGATAGTATCCCATCCCCCTCACCCCAAAGTGAAATACAGTTGATCTTTCCTGTTTCTCCGCCTTCCCCGGGGCAGAACTGCAGCCCCCTAGGCCTCCTCTGTCCTTAGGGTTGCTGACTCCTTCCAGGATCTCTAAACAGCCCTGGAAGTTCAGATCAAAGGTCTCCACCGTGTCCCTCTGATTCCCGCTCTCAAAGAGGGCCTCCCTGGAAACTGTGAAACGGTGTCTTAATATGCAACTGCTATACCCCCAGAGGACACAACTTAATTCTGAGTGTATCATGGTTGTCTCTCCCCCGGTACCAAGTCTTAGACTCCTTCTCTATTTGATGCACAATGGGATGCATTGTGAGAAGCCTCCTTAAGCCAGAACGTCCAGAAAAAGCCTCTTCTACCTTCATATGCCTGGCCCTGGCAGGGCAGATAGCTGGCAGCCTCCTCGGAGGCGACGACCCTGCAAATCGGAATCCGCATGTAACCTGCCTCCCCTCTCTCCCTGTCCAGGAGAAGCCAACTCCTTCCCGCCCGCCCGGAACCCGCGATGCCCGCCCCGCAGTGCTCCTCTTGCCACAAGGCGCGCGCCGCCCTCCGCCGCCCGCGCTCCGGCCAAGCGCTGTGCGGCGCCTGCTTCTGCACCGCCTTCGAGGCCGAGGTGCTGCACACGGTGCAGGCGGGCCGCCTGCTGCCACCCGGCGCCGTAGTGGCCGTGGGCGCCTCCGGCGGCAAGGACTCCACGGTGCTGGCGCACGTGCTGCGCGAACTGGCGCCGCGCCTGGGCATCTCGCTGCGCCTGGTGGCGGTGGACGAGGGCATCGGCGGCTACCGCGACGCGGCGCTGGCGGCCGTGCGGCGCCAGGCGGCGCTCTGGGACCTCCCGCTCACCGTCGTGGCCTACGCGGACCTCTTCGGGGGCTGGACGATGGACGCCGTGGCCCGCAGCACCGCCGGCTCCGGCCGCAGCCGCGCCTGCTGCACCTTTTGCGGGGTGCTGCGGCGCCGTGCGCTGGAGGAAGGGGCGCGCCTCGTGGGAGCCACGCACATCGTGACAGGTGAGCACGGGCCCTGCAGCCGAGGGGCTAGCCCTTAGGTGGTGAAGGAGCCGCTGTTGGGTGTGCCCTGGAAGGAGGAGCTGCACATGGAGAAGGGGATGTGCGTGCCTGGCATGGGCGCAGCCAGCTTCTGAGTCACTGTAATCGATGGCATTGGCAGCTACAGGGTGGAGGGGTAGTCTCCAGGGGCTTGGTTCCCTACATTTAAAAAAGGACATTCTTTGTGTCCCTGTTCACAAAAGGAGGGAAGTGAAGTGGTCCCATCCATCAGAAGCCAACTACAGTTGTAGTCTAGAATGCACCTGTCTTTGAATTCCTTTTCTCCGTCGGCCTCTCCTCTGTGATGACCCTTATTCTCTCCTGGTCATCACTTCAACACATAATTCTTGACCACTTACTGTGTACCAGATACAAGCTATATAGCCCAGAGCAATGCCTAACCTCAGTTTCTTCTTGTATAAAATGGGGTTGTTAATAAAATTGAGGTCCTAGGGTTGTTGGGAATTAGATAGGTTATGTGTGCAGCACTTGGACCAGAGACTGGAAACCAGTAGGTATTGCAGAAATGTTTGCCATTGTGATGATGCACTAGACAGTCTCTCTTCCTGCTCTTCTCTCACACATATAATTAGAACCTGAGAAGTGCTACTAAGGGAAATCACATAGACTTTGGTGGCTTATAATAGGTGTATCCAGGAAGGGAGAAGAGTAGGGGTTAGGAAGCATTTCCAGAGTGAGCCAAGACCTGTAGGCCACCCTGTAACCAGTGAAGGGCAGACAGAGGGTCAAATTCTGAGCAGAGGAAACAGCTTATGCAAAGGCCCTGAAGAGGGTTATGGCCAATTAGAGAAACCCTAAAACCAGTGTTCTACTGTCTGGACTATCCAATATAAAATAACAAGATGCAGAATAAGTAGAGATTTAGCTTGTTTTATGGTGATTGTTGTATAAATATTCCCTAACTTTCTCCCTGGTCTTTCTGAATGTGGTGATGTGCATTCCCAGAGGCACTGAGGCAAGGGCTCACTTGAGAGTCTCCATTAACTATTAAATGCTACTTTGGGGCCACTTGGGTGGCCCAGCGGTTTAGCCCCGCTTTCAGCCCAGGGCCTGATCCTGGAGACCAGTGATCGAGTCCCGTCCCACGTCCCACGTCGGGCTGCCTGCATGGAGCCTGCTTCTCCCTCTGCCTGTGTCTCTGCTTCTCTCTCTCTCTCTCTCTCTCTCTCTCTCTGTGTGTGTCTCTCATGAATAAATAAAATCTTTTAAAAACATAAAAAATAAATAAATGCTGCTTTGGCTCCTGTGCAGTGTGAAGCACACTTCTGAGACTGAAATGTTTGTAGCCTAAAGCACTTTTACTACCTTCCTGAAAAGGCAACTAGCACAGGGCGGGATGGCGATAAGTGGGTGCCAGATGAGGGCACCCCTAATCGCTCCCCGGGAACCTGTGTGTGTTCCCCTCTTCTTTCTCACTGTGACCGCCGTCAGCCTCCACCTGGCTGTCCCGGGGCGCCCAGGGGTCTCCATGGCCCCGTGTGGCCCTCCCTGCTGGTCTCCGGGCCCCCTCCCCGTCTCCCCGGGTTCTGGCTGCCCCGCAGGGTCTGGGGTCTCCACGGCCGGGTCGGGTCGGGTCGCACGCACACCCCGGGCCCCTCCCCGTCTCCCCGCCCGGCTGCCCCGCGGTGGCGCCCCCACCTCACCGGCTCCCCCTCTCTCCCCCAGGCCACAACGCCGACGACATGGCAGAGACGGTGCTCATGAACTTCCTGCGGGGCGACGCGGGGCGGCTGGCCCGGGGCGGGGGCCTGGGCTCGCGGGGCGAGGGGGGCGCGTTGCCGCGCTGCCGCCCGCTGCAGCTGGCCTCGCAGAAGGAGGTGGTGCTGTACGCGCACTTCCGTCGCCTCGACTACTTCTCCGAGGAGTGTGTCTACGCGCCCGAGGCCTTCCGCGGCCACGCGCGCCACCTGCTCAAGCTCCTGGAGGCGGCGCGGCCGTCGGCGGCGCTGGACCTGGTGCACTCGGCCGAGCGCCTGGCCCTGGCCCCGGCCGCGCGGCCCCCGCCCCCCGGCGCCTGCTCCCGCTGCGGGGCGCTGGCCAGCCGCGCGCTCTGCCAGGCCTGCGCCCTCCTGGACGGCCTGCAGCGCGGCCGGCCCCGCCTGGCCATCGGCAAGGGGCGCGACGAGGAGGGGCCGCCGGGGCCGCCGGGGCCGCCGCCGCCGCCGCCGCCGCCAACGCCTCCGCCTCCCGGAGACCCGCGCTCGGCGCCGGGCCCCGCCGCCGCCGCCGCCGCTGCCGGGGAGTGCGGGGCGGCCTGTGAGGGGCGCTGCGCCCAGGCCTCCCTGTGACTGCGGGAGGGGGACGGACGGGACCGGTTACCGCTGACCCCGCAGAAGCTGAGGCCGGGGAGGAGGGAGGGAGGGAGCAGGGGGCTGGCCGGGACCCCTGGGTCCCGAGGAGGAGGGAGCAGGGGGCTGGGAGCCAGGACTCCTGGGTGCGAGGGAGGAGGGGCTGGGGCAGGGACCCCTGGGTGTGAGGGAGGAGGGAGTAGGGGGCAGGGACCCCTAGATCTGAGGGAGGAGGGGCTGGGGGCCTGGACTCCTGGGTCTGAGGGAGGTGGGGCTGGTGGCTGGGACCCCTAGATCTGAGGGAGGAGGGGGCTGGTGGCTGGGACCCCTAGATCTGAGGGAGGAGGGGCTGGGGGCCTGGACTCCTGGGTCTGAGGGAGGTGGGGCTGGTGGCTGGGACCCCTAGATCTGAGGGAGGAGGGGGCTGGAGGCCTGGACTCCTAGGTCTGAGGGAGGAGGGGCTGGAGGCCAGAACTAGTGTCAGGGAGGAGAGAACCTTCCATTCCAGAGCCAGTAGAAATTAGAGGGCTGCTTGCCTAGTACTCTGCCAGGTTCTGGGCATGCTCGGGAGAGTCCTAACCCTCCTTTAGGACCCACTATGTGTCATGTTTGCCAGGAGTGGGTAAAGCAAAACCGCTTCCCTTGATGGGCTCTCTCATTTACAGTAATCAGGATGCTTATCTTTGAGTGCTGTGCATACTGTGGATGCTGCCCCGGCTGACTTCATCCACACCACAATCTCACTGGCTGTCACTTGAGGCCAGGTAATTGGCCTGAAGTCACCTAGCTGGAGTTTGTCCCTCCACACTGGGAGGTGGGTGGGTGGTTGGTTAGATTTTGGCTGTGGTTCAGCACTAGCCTATAGAAACATAAAGTGAGTCAAATGTGTAATTTTAAGTTTTCTAAAGCCATATTTTTTAAAGGAGAGGGGAACAGGTAAACTTTTAATACTGTATTTAACTTGACCCAAATAAATATATCTGAACTAAATATCCAAGATATTACAATATTAATATGTCATTATTTTAAAACTATGAGATATCTTGGTCTATTTTTCTGTTCTAAGCCTTTGAAATTCAGTGTGTATGTTATACTTACAGCCCATCTCCATCCATTCCATTCTGTTTCAAGCATTTTTCAGACCTCCTATGTGACATGAGGGCCCCATGTGAAAACTAGGAAGATGCTGTCCTAGGCCTTGGCCGCAAGAGGTCACTGTACCCACACCTGTGCATCAGGTGGCCATTGATGGCAAAGTAAGGCCTCTCTCTGGTGCCCAGGTGGGAGCTCTGCTCTCTTCTGCCACCTCCTCCCTGGTTTCCCGGATCTGAGCCCACCAAGAACGAGAGGCACAGTCTGGCAGAAATATTAAGGCCCCATTAGAAACCATCTTTGACTTCAAGACCTGTATGTTCATGCATTCATTCATTCCGCAAATATTTATTGAGCACTTCATCTGTGACAGCAGTGAGCAAACACCTGCCCGGATGGGAGAGGCCAAAAAAGAAAGGAGAAAAATAAGTTGAATATATAGTATATCAGATGGTAATAAATCAGGGGATGGAAACAGGCCAACATTTAAGTAGGTGTAGTATAAGCCCTGACAGTTGGGTTTTCTCTTTTTTGTAATGCAAGTGCCTGACTTAAGCTTTACTTGCCAAGGCATCTGCTTCAAAGATGGCTATCTCAGTAAACAGATTGCCAGCCACACGACTAGATAAAGAGTCAGGCTGCCTTCCCCCTCTGCCAGGCTCCTTTGTTTTAGAGATCTCAGTTGATTTCTGTAAATCAAAATCACCCAGCAGCTTGCTTTTCCTCTTCTCATGCTTTAAATTCCCCACTCATGTCTTAAATTCACAAAGCAAGCCCATGAAGCCCTAGGTACCCCCCCCACACCCAGACACAACATTGGTTATCGATAGGCTGAGACCACACACAACAGTGGAGTGGATAGGAAGGCCTTGAGGAGATGGTGACATTTGAGCAAAGACCTATCCAAGGTGAGGCAGTGAGCTTGCAGATCTGTAAGAAGAGCATTGCTGGCAGAGGAACAGCGAGCGCAAACTGAGGCTGGAGA